TCTCTTTATTAGAGTTGCAATTATGAAAAAAAAATTCCGACTGAGAATATTTAGGCGCCCTCCACACTTATCCGGATATTTGTGAAGACGGATTTTTTCCCGTTTTAGCCTTCAGTCCACACATAACTAGCGTTTTCGGGCACCAAAAACGCAAGCTTTCGAAAACGGTCCCCAGAGCGGAGATTTTTTGGGTGAACGCCCGCTTTTTTTCGTGTGGTCGTACTAAAACGAAGGTTTTCGAATGCGATGATGTCATACGTCATACAGCCTGTACCCTGTAACGAATGCTATATCGTATTTGTAGTGTTAAACTTTTTGTATGGACTGGCAAAAACGATTCGAGGTCGCTACGTGTGAAGGCGTGTTTTTTCGAAACTGATTGAGAAAAACTATCCGTCTTCAAAAAAAGTCTAGATACGTGTTGATGAGGCCTTAGTTGTAATTTAAGCTTAGCTTTGACCCAAAGTTGTGAAACTTAACAAAGCAAAGCCGTCTAACTTACCCCCTTCATCTGTTCTAGCCACCAAAGTGGTATCATTTTCGCTGAAGGTGCCATTTTTAAACGCGACCACTTCGATCCAGTAATCGGTATAAATTTCCAGATCCTCTAACCAAATGGTGGTGTAGTTCTTGCAAAGGAAGATGGAGAAGCTACAGTTCGTGTAGTTTCCAGCACTATCACACGTAATGTTGCGATGAAAGCGTACTCTATAGCCGAGTAACTCAGAGTGGTTCACGTGTGTCCAGTTGATCAGTAGTGCGGTTGATGTCTTGTTTGTAACTGTAACATTACGTGGTGCTATCAAAGGGGGACAATTAACTGGGTGACCATCAATTACATAACCACATGTTTGCGCCCCATCTGATGGGAGAGATAGAACCAAATCAGAGGCTGTTACATGAAGGCAGGAAGGATCGGATTAATTGACTTAGGGAAGGGGTAGGTGGGTAGTTACCCAAATACCTCAATAGGCCATTTCCGAGTTGCGTCAAGCCTTTAATTCAAAGCGAGGCCAAGTGCGAAGCCATGGATATGAAAATGATTTTTTATTCTCATGTTTAAAATACAGCATTTTCACAACAAAGGTTTTGCACTTTGCCTCAGTTTGGGAGTGAGAGGGAACTCGGAAATGCCCCATTGATCCTGATTCGAATCCTACACTTGCCACCATGAAAATCCTAGTAGGCGGAAGAACTTTCAATTGGGTTTACATGCACAAATTTCGGTCCGTGTGGTTATTAAGGAAAAGAGGAATTATTAGGTGATGGTGAGCGCGATAGTAAAAATGCAATTTAGACCCTTATGCTCTCTTTACTAACTACCTTTCAACAGAATTATCACAATTATCAGCTCGTGGTATGTAACGCCATATGAAATCGTCCACATTTATTGCCGTGATTACCCACTTAACGACCCGCCGCCATCTTTGTCTGGTTTGTCCCTAGTATTAGGATCTTCCTAGCGAAGGCAGTTTACATGGTGATGGGATCTTCCTAGTACTAAGATCTTCCTGCCTGACAGCTAGGAAGATCTGATGCTATTACTAGGATGATCCTCGCGCTAGGGACAAGAACAACCCTTTGCGTGTAAACTGGATACAGAAAGCATATTGTGCTAGGATCATCGTCCATGTTAACAGTCCCTTAGTATAAGTATAAAATATCGGTTAAAATGAAGTTTCAAAAGTTTAACATTTTAAAATATTCATTAATTACGATAACCTTCTGGGCCGGGTTGTTCGAAGCTGGATATAACCGTGGGTTAGTGCGAAATTTGAAGTCAAATGTGAGAGATTAAAAAGCAAATTCAGTTTAATTCTATTAGCCTACAGTTTGATAATTGGATACTCTAAAAAGAATAGAGAAAATTATCCGATAAAAAGATAAAGAAACCCGGGTTAAAATTTAACCCCGGGTTGGTGCTAACCGGCGTTCGAACAACTGGGCCCTGCAAGGGCCCGTTTCTCGAAAGCCCCGCTAACTTTTCGGGCCCGAAAACAAATATTCAAATCGAAATATAAAGAATAAGAGCGCGGGTCCTGGCTAGCAAACTGCTCCATTTTGTTTCATTAATTGATAGTTTTATCATGGTAGATGTAAAACTATTGAAACCTCTACCTTCAATGTAAACGGCAACAGCTTACCGGGCCCGTTAATTATCGGGACTTTCGAGAAACGGGCCCCTGGTATCTTTGCATAAGGCTATTGAGACACCCATTTAAAGCATGGGTATTGCTTTGGTAGCAAAGTTTTGTTTTTCAAATTATTAAACCGGTGCACCGTTGAGAGATTTTCAATAAAATAAAAGATGTTCGATTTTCGCGTAAAACACCTTATTACATTCCTGTAACTACTATATGAAGACATAAATAGGAAAAAAAAAGAAACAGCGAACTATAAACATTCATTATTAGCAAAAGATTGATGAATTTAGTTTATTTCATAGTTTGTCATTTTTTTTTTAATCTTTACTTGTAAATGATAGTTGTATAGGCGTTAGTACGGCTTTGAAACTGAAACAAAAACAATTAATAACATTCAACATCTTCACATTTTTGCTACCCAAACTTATAAGAAATTTGTGGGCTTGAAAAACCGTTTTGCATCTTTTCCCTCTTCGAGATAGTTCGCTAATTAAAGTCGCTGTTCTATTTGCTTTGATCGCACCATTCTGACTATGATTGAGCAAATTCCACGTCTTTTTCTAACGTATCAGTTCAACTCGTCAACTCTATAACTTGTTTTCAGTCAACCAGTATTGACGAAGTTGCTTTATGAAATTAGAGGTCAAATTGTTTTTGTCTACCTGTGATGTGCGTAATATCTATAGCGACGAACATAAGTTTTCCTTGGCTGTATGGGTCATTTTAATAAAAGATGACCTTCATGATTGAGCGCTTAACAACAGTCTCTTTGCAAAGAATCATCGACCCTTTTCAGCCCAATTTTTTGATGTGATAAAATTTGTTTTAAAACACAGGAAAAAGAAGCCGACGAGTGATGTTTTTGTATAAAATAAAAAATTCGAAGAGCGCATAAGTCAGTGTAACATTTTGATATTATGTAACTTATTCCTTTGGCTTAACGATCTCTCGGAGAGAGCGCAAGTAGGCCTGGATTTGAAATTGTGAGGTGAACAGCTTTACGATTATTTTTTTATTTTTTTTTTTTGCGGCTTATACTTATTAACGATGAAAAAAAGTCGTTATAACTTTTTACAAGACTGGAATCATGATTACTATCTTGCTTTTTATTAGAAAACCCGTTGATTATCTATAATTAATGACCTACAAAACGCAATGTCACTTATGCTAAGTCATAAGCAAGATAAGTGTTCTAAATGGATTCTTCGCGGCTGATTAGTAGTCTTTTGAACTTTCTCAAGTACTTACCCTCCCGTGCTGGTATTCCCTGTATTAAAATTTTACTAAAAAGAATTGGAGGCTTATGGCCAAAACAAAGTTTATAAGAAATGATAAATTATTCAGTCTGAACCTTTTTTTTTACCAACTTAATATCCTGGTTTATAAAAGTATAAGCACTTACTAAAGGATAATTTGTATACCTCTATACATCTCACTAAAGAGCCAATACTATTTCTTAGCGAGAGAAATCGATTCAAGCCATACTATGTGAAAAGTGCTCAGTTCGCGATTTGCACAAGTTAGGGAGAGACCGTTATTTAAAAGTTAATCTACTCAATAATGTTGAGAAACCTGTCTGACTGTTTAGCCTTTGAACCGTCCTGTCAGGGACCCTAAAGGTAGAAATTGTGTTCCAGTAAGGCTCTATACTCAATCTTTTGTGAAACGGTTACTAACAAATAGTTTATGGCAACTCACCGGTTACAGACGATGCGAACTTCACACAATAACTTAAACCAGCGATGCACAGGGTAATCTGTCGAGAGAAAAATAGTTGTGAGTATGAATGCGCATATAGAGTAAAAAAAAAAGCGTTTAATCTCGAAGTGCAATCACTAACAAATACCAGAATTAAAGTTCGCTTTTCCATGTTAGACGTGGCTCTTTCCTCCTCATTGTAGCTGAAATTTCCGCATTGACAAAATTGCAATTACGCTTTTGGTAAAAACTGTCTTTCGCCGGCAGGTGCCATATTGTAAGACAACTCCAAAACGCAGTCTTTTAAATAGCTTTTATTCCAGAGTCCTTTAATGGAACAGGCCTCCTCTGATAATCCTCTGGAGCACTTTGGGATTAAAATCATTAGTTTTATGCAACGTTTAGCTCTGTGATCATGTTTTGTACAGTAAACATGTCAAGGAAGTCTCTAACTAATTACGCGACTTTCGGCCGCAGAACAATCCGTTGACAGTTATGAAAATTATTATAATGCTGATGTTAATAAATATTAAAATTTCAATAGCAATAACCACAGAGACTAGACAAAGAGTTTATCGTTTCGCAGCGTTTTGCAAGGAATTCACATTATTAGATACAATAAGGATGAAACATGAAGCCTATCAAGTACTTCACACAGGCCAAGACCTTATGGAAGTAAGAATTTCTCTGTGCTCTGCGCTCTGCGTTTGTTCACAATATTTGACTTTCAGAGAGTACGCCACAAGCCAACAAAAACAAAATTCTCTTTGTGTCGCTGGCACTTATACGGCGTGGAAGCCTAACCATTCTTGAGGCGATGTTCTTTTAATCTTACAGTGATGAAATGTAACAATCTATATGAAGTTAGATGTGGTGGACCTACTCGAACGAAAGTATTCATCTTCATAAACAAAGATGTTAAAAGAGAAATACCCGGCCTTACTTGTTAATGCCATTAATGAAAAATGAGCTTTTATCACGAAATCCCTGACCAACGAAGGTTTTTTCTTTTAACTTAATTTTTCCTCTGGCCCTTTTGAAAAATTTATAAGCAATATTTAGTAAATAAAAACAAAGGACGCATATATCTCGAAAACCTCCTTTACATGTAATTGTTAGAGAAGTCAGTGCGGCATACGACTCTCTTAATGTCTAAGAACTCGAAAATTAATCAGTAAAGGGCTTTTATTAAAATCAAATAAAGCATTTCCTACATAATGTGTTGGGGCGTCAATAGAATCTAGTAAGAGAACAACAGTGAAAGCTCCTAAGCGGGCATCCTTCTTCCATTCACATTTTTAGGAGAGTGATCAGTATAGAATTTCTCCTTTTTTCTCAGTGTTTTATAGAACAGAGTTGTCACGAGAATTTAGGAAATGATCCCGAAAGATCATAAATGAATTTAACCGACATTTTAACAACTTCCTATCACTACTTCTACAGGATATACCTAAAGGCAACAGAGGAGAATAGAAACTTTGATATATCAGAGTTTAAAGAGTTAAACGCGCGTGACATTCATAATCTCACTCTTTAATTTTCACTTCGTCTGCAGAATAAACCTCGAAAAAGAAGACAGATACATAAACTTTCCGTCCCACACTTTCTTTAAACTCTTATTCAGCGCGGCTCTGCTAATGTTGAGTGCTCTGCGAGTGATCGCTTATCGAGGGTTTCACTGCATATACAATAAAGATATCAAGATATTTACGACAGTCAGACGTCTTAGCGACTCGGTGGTGCATGAGTTCCATCCCATATGGGTATCGATCGCTTCATTAATACAGTTTCAGTAAAACGAGGGAGGATGATAGGGAGCTTAAGCAACAATAACGGCTAAGGCGACAAGAACGCCACTTAACGGCAGCAGTGAAATCGCGCTGCTTCAAAATTTTATCACCCTTATTCCATCTCGCTCAATTCTTCAAATGTTGGCAAAGTTTTCTGGAGCTGAATTCGGGACTGAATCGAAGTTCAGGAGAAGAAAAAGAAGGTCGTTCTCTTGTGTTCACGTCCTGCACAAAACGTGAAATTTAGGCACTTTCACGTCGTAGTCATGCAATGACGGCAAAGAAATGTACAAAAAAAGCGTGATGCACGTGCAAAGTTGTTGTTTTACCAATCTAGACCTAATGCTTTTTTAACTTTCTCGTTGCCATCGCCGTCGTCTTTTCTTAAGCCCCCTGGTAACACATCGCAGGCGATTCCATTCCCTTAAATGCAAAGCCCACGCACACGCTTTTATAACTTTGTAGAGTAAAGCGCTTAGAAGCGGCATGACAACTCAACCTTTTTTCTTGTAATAAATTAAAGAGTAACAATCGGTCCGGCCATGAAAACATCCATAGTTTTACATTTAACCTGATTGCAGTTTGTTTTCAAGGTTGGCTTAATAGCTTGGTAATTTGTCTCATCAACATTTGCATTAAGTCCATTTAGGGGGTAATGCAATATGTTTCAATATGTTTCACTCTTTTTTACCTGCCACTGGAGCGTTTTATTTTTCATAATCTTCCATTAACTTGTAAGGAAATGTGATAGTTTCTTGACTTGCCTTCAGAAAATCCTAAACGTAATCCATGGTTAGAAACTACTTGATCACGTTTGCTTACCTTTATGAACCTCAACGACTCGAGAGTTGGCATGCCAACACCTTTTCAGAATACTTAAACAAAACAAATCGTCGATAAAGTTTTCCACGGTGACCGCTTGCAATCGCGTCTATGATTTTAGTCTTTAAAACATCAGCAGCGGACGACGTGACTAGCACGCACTAAACTGTGAAAACGTCAAGCGAATATTTGAAACCTTGCATCGTAAAGTTGAATCCGTTCTGAAACTGCCTGTCAATTAACTTTGAAACGTCAGCAGTGGACAATTAAGGGCGGCAGGTGGGTTTACAAATACAGAATATGTTTATAAGAATTTAGAACTGTACGCTTTTAGGACGTTTTGAAATTTAGTCCCGTGGTGAATTATTTTGGATATATTACACTCTTCACAGATTGCATGTGTCGAGCTCTACAGGAAATTGATCTGGTTGATGTAAATAATACATCACAAGAATGAAAAAGGCGCTGTCGAAACTTATGACGTCATACAAAATGGCCGTAAACCGCCTTCTTACATTTTTACTTTGATGCAAATACAGTCGAACTTTCCTGCAATAACACCTTGGTCACGAAGATAAGACGTTATTGTAGCCAGGTGGCGTTATTACTAAGGGAGGTACGGAGTGTAAAGCAACACCAAACCGGTTTGGTTGACACCGATTTTCTAAGAAAACAAGAACAGTTTTTAATTTTAAAAATAATGATTATAGAGCGTTTCCACTTGACGTCACGGCGGCTATATTGATGTTTCAAAACATTGAAACTGAACGGCGGGCATGTTTTTGTCCCAAACCAATCCCGTGGAAGTTGAAGTCTTTTCTTATGAAAACGATTTCCTTTTCTTGCAACTTATTTGGCATAAAAGCTGGTCACGTGACTGAAAACGCTCTGTAGCATATTGATAAACATATGTAACTCCTGTTCCAATCGAATTGAAAGACTGGAGAATGATGTGTTCTTGGTTTATTTTTGCATACAATTCACTACTTTCACATAGACCATAAAGCACCTTGTTTACCCCCCCCCCCCCACCCCCCCCCAGAAAAAATTTTGCATAACCATTGTTTCCGATTTCTTCTGGGTGTAACAGTCGTCTCAGCAGAAATCCAAGACAATGGTTTTGGTTTTAATTTGGGGGGGGGGGGGGATAAACAAGGTGCATTGTGGTCTATGCGAAAACATCCTCGGTGACCCAGGGGCAGATAGTGGGGACGAGGGAAAGTCTAAACGGGCGGAAAAATATGACACGAAGAAAAGTAAAGAACGGCGAGAAGAGCCCCTGGGGACAATGTCTTACCAGACCAGTTCCAACGGTCGCCGCCGTTCTGGCTTCTGATTGGTGCCAGAAAAACACAAGTTTTCTGGCACCAATCAGAAGCCAGAACGGGGGCGACCGTTTGGAACTAGTCTGGTAAGACATTGTCCCCAGGGGCTTTTCTCGCCATTCTTTACTTTTTTTCGTTCCGTATATATTTTTCCGCCCGTTTAGACTTTCCCTCGCCCCCTTTATCTGCCCCTGGGTCTCCGAGGATGATGCGAAAATGGTGAATAGAATTTTTTCTCGAACTTTGGAAATGCTTCTCGCTTTTCGCTGCGCATACTTTGGGTGCTTGCCTTCCATTATGCGAAGTTCCACAACAGATATCTTGGAATTTCTTAAAAATGCATTTATTATGCATGAACTGAAGACTGGACTTTATGCAGACAAATTGACTCTTTTTTGATGTTTCCGGAAAGGTTTTATCGCTCATTCGTTTTGCAAATGACCCTTATACACGGCCCAATCGGATAAACGCAAGTAGATTTGCACCATTTCGAAAAACACGAAAACACGTGAATCGGGGTCAAACGCAATGCTGAGCTCTTTTTGTAATTTCTAAGGCTACTTTCACGAAAACAGCGATTAAACCAAACTTGGACGACAGATTTTCTTTAAAAAATTTCGATGCTGCAATTGATCAGTGTACTATAAAATGCATAGATTTGGATAATTTTTTGCTTTGGGATTTTCTATTGTCTCGAGTTTAGCTTTGAAAACATCAAATTCCCATGCAGCACGCGAGAATTGACTGTGGTTGGTTGCCCGGAGTCCGTAATCTATTCACTATCGTTTTCTCCCTTCTACGACATTACTGTAAACCTCTCGTGTGTTTCGGCCTTACGCACGAGGGGTTTTGCTCCCGGAGTATGCTCCAGGTTCATTTTGCACGGCCAGTACACACAAGTTTTTATACTGCGGGAGCTTGCTCCATGTTATGGTACACACGAGGGACCAAACGGAAGAAACTTGGTGTGGGATAGCTGATATTCACCAGATGAGCATTTGGGAACTAGTTCAAAATTAAACATGGCGACGTCCTTGTGGTCCAGAACAAAACAGAAAAAGTTGATTCTTTTGATGATGATGATGATGATGATGACGATGATGCTTGAAGATGACTCCTCAGCTGGTAACTGAAAAAGTTGCCAGCAAAGCATGGGCTCGCCTGTGGCCTCTGAGAAGACAGGAGAAAGGGGCTTTTAAGTTAGTTTTCGAGAACTGTCCGTGGAAGATTCAGACGGATTTTGTTAAAACAAGAGAACTCCAAACGCAGAATTCG